GGGGAATTCTTTTGAAAAAAAAACACCTTCAAAGGCTGATGAGTAAGTTTCATTCTCTTGTAAATATGATTACTTTTATGCCTCATTTTTAAAAGTTCGTGCGAAAAAAAAAAAATCGTGTTTTGTCACGATATAAAAATCAAAAAATTTTCACAAGTACAGTATTACAATACAGAATCGGATTCTATCTATTAATAAATATTAAATATTAAAATAATTTTGCAAATTTTGCAAAATAACTATTTTTAATGCCTAAAAAATAACCAGGGATAGGACAATTAAATAGTAGGTTACGCTTCGGCGACAGGAGTAGGAGACGCATTATCTTCACCTGAGAAAGTCTTGCAGCAGAAACCACCAGGGTATGCTTCACCAGTAGGTAAGACAGAAAGCGTAATCAATAAAATAAATGCAAAAATAAATTGTTTCATGATGTCTTTGCTTTGAAAGATAATTTGTATTTAATTTTATTAGAGTTTTCTCTGTGTGTGGTTATTGATAATTTTATTTTTTATTTTATTTTTTTTTTGTGAATACAATTGTTATGACTTGTCTTTTCAGAGTAACGAAACCATTATCTTTTATAATAAAAAAATAAAGATTCCCAGATTTCCTAATACATTTTTAATTCCGTGCAAATCGTTTAAAATTATGGAAGCCAATTTGAAAATCAAGGAGCATTATACAAATCCATACATGGGAATCTGCATCCAATTATTAAATCTATTAAATTTTGATTAAAGTTGAATTACTTTCAATCACGTACATCAAGACTAGGGAAAATAATTCTATTTCGAGGAAAATGTCCATATGCACAAAATGTTTACCAATCCTAAATTATTGTAAATGAAAAAAAGGATCCAGTAAAATCAAGTTATGAGATATAATGTATCATACCAAAGATTTATTTTTAAATTAGGGATGTTAACCGCTCCTTAACCGCTCCTTACGATCTAATAGATCACTAACTCTAGAGAAGTCTAATCACTTATCCATGATAAGTAGCCCCAATCAAAAAAATGTCATAAATATTTTTATAATTAAATTTGTAAAAAGCGATAATTATTCAAAATTGGCAATTTTATGGGACCGCTCATTAAAACGTTATAATAGACAAGTTTAATAATAAAGTTTATAAAAAATAATTTTCTTTGAACTTTTCATGTGAAATCACAACTTTATGAATAAATAATTTTTTTCCTTCTCCTGTTACCTCGCCAAATTAAATTTCGTATTAGGACCGCTTCACATGTGAAATCACAAACGTTGTGAATAAATAATTCTTTCCTTGTTACCTCGCCAAATTTAATTTTGTATTTGGATTTCACAACATTACCGATCATGTCTGATTGCTTTGCTAGGACCTAGATCAGCAAGTTTATGGACTTTGGCGCTTATACTGGCAATATTTGACCAAATTGCTGGATGTTTTGATGCATTGTGAAAGAAGGAACGCAATGATGTTGGCAGTCAGAGTGTCCTCGAGAAGATCCTTCAATGGTTTAACAGGAATATTTTTCGTTTTGTGAAATAGGTAAAAAATTGTTATAGCCAGCTGATATAAGAAATAAAAAGCATTTAATGATTACGAGAATATGCTCTCAAATTCAAATTTAAAATATTTCATGATAGATAACCCCGATTCTCTGCCATTTGCTCATGCTTTTGAACGATATGCGCAGATATATCCTTCTCTTAAAACATATACTATATCGCAAAAAGATATTTATAATTTTCATCAAATGAAATTGAATCATTCAAAAAGTCTCTCTTGATCATCATCCACAAATTCATCAAACATAAAATTCTTAGGGTCTCACCTACATCAAAAAATCATCACTGTCAATTTCTTCGCCTTCACTTGTGGTTGAGAGAGACGAAGGAATTCGAATTAAATATTTGATGTTCGGGTATTCGTGGTGGAAGGGGAAGAGTGACAACGCGTGGAGGAGGGATTTGAACATTGATAACGGGTTGGTAATTCTCACCGTCTATTCACTTTTTTTTTTTAAACCCTCGTAATAGTCCTAAAGGATTAAAATATAAATATTTAATTCTGCCGATTTCCCAACCAAAAATATATCTACCTCTTGATATCTTTTTTTTTAAAGCGAATAATCAGTGATAAATTCAAAAATTTATTTCAGCGCAAATTTTAAAATCGTGTGCATTTTCCGCCTAAACTAATTTAAAATATATGCGCAAAAAGATTTTTTATATGCGCTTTATATATAAAAGTAAATCTTAATATGCGCACAAAAAAATTATTTATTATTAAATTTACTGACTTATAAATGAGAATCTTGAGGATTTATATGATCCCGCCCAATTTACATATGAAATTAAAATTTTACTAAGTTTTACATTTCCCATTCGCCTTACTTTTAAATTGATCCAATGATCATATGGGACCAGTCCAGCAAAAGCCGGGTTTAGCCAAAAATTTTGATTTTAAAATTTTATTATAATTATATAATTATTGATCTAATTTTTCAGAAAATAAAAAAAAAATTTATATGTAGCATATTCAAAAAATATAATATTTTATAATTTATAATTGTTGTATTTTTATATTATTATATTTAATGAATGAAATTAACCAATAATTTTAAACTGATTTTCTTGAAATCACGTGATTTGCTGAGCCTGTTTTTATAAAACGATGATTTAGTGTTAAGATTAGGATCATTTATAAAATAAATCAATAAATTGTATTATGCTAAAATTTGAAAAAATTATTTCACGTAATGTTAGCTAACCCCCTGGGCATCGCCCGGGTAAAACCACTAGTTTAATGATAATAATTTATCGCGAAAATCAATTTTTTTTTTAATTATACTATACAATTTATACCATTTTTATGGTTTAATATTTATTAATACTTTTGTTTATTTAATTATTGGACACGAATATTTGTAAAAAAAATTTACATTCGTTCATATATTATGTAACTAAAATCTAATTCAACTTCCGCTCCATATACAGTAGATAGAAACCTTTTAATTTTTGTAATGTGTTGAGCATTATATATGTCCAAAAAATAGATTCGATTTTTTTATACGATTATCGATTAAATCGATTTCGATTCGATTTTCGATTAATTAGATATTATTAGAATCGATTCCAATCCCTACATCGATCTTCTTTATAAGAGTGAGTCACACATGAGGGAGCAAAAATATATCTTGGAGAGATATGTTGTTTGAAAAAGTTATAGGAATGGAAACGGGAGAAATATATTTTTAAAAAAGTTTGAGGACACAGACGCGTTATAAATGTCATAAACATTGACGTAAACCACAATATTACAGTCAACTCTCTCTAAATGCACCCTCTAAATGCAAACACTACATATTTTCTCTAAATGCGCATACAGAAATCATATAGAAAATTTTTTCTTTAAATGCACATTTTTAAATTTTCACTAGAGAGTCACGTGATACTGCGTTTCGATTTTTGCGATCCGAAAAAAAAAATAAATTGCCCAGAAAATATCCCAATGAAAAAAATTTTTTTTTAAATTTTTTTTTTAAAAAAAAAAGAAAGAAAATCAAAGAACCACAACACCAAATTCAGAAACAGTAAACACGCTTGTTACCAGCCCACCCAATAAAATTAACTTATTTTCATAATGATTGTTTAAAAATGTAAGTCACGTGAATTCTTTCTCGGGAACAGTACATTTAATATATCATTTTGATAAAATTTGTTCCTTAACATTTTAATTTTATGCTTTTTCCCTTGTTTGAAAATCTGAGGATGCATATGGGATCGTTCGTGCTATTAAACGCCCTGATTGTATTGAAAGGCCACTTTTTGTTGCTTCCACTGCGAAGATAAAACCCCTCTCGAATACAGAAATGCCAAAGCATTTATTTATTCAGTTTACTTTTATTGAAAAAATCCTCGTACGAGGAACCAATCCGGGTTGCAAACTATTATTTCTAGGGTTCCGCGATAATCAATTCTTTCAATTGCGACGAGGAATCAAATACTTACTGTATATGGTAAAAATCAATGTTTTTTCATGTACGGAACAATATGAATTCCATATTCAAATAAAATAAGGCAATGAACGCGACCAATTCACGAAATTTCTCGCTTATGAAAGATATCACTGTACAATAAAAAAATATATATATATTGTAGAAATACTTGAAAACGCGTAGGTTTTTGAATATTAAATTTAACTTTTACAATCACCAATAACGCTCGAATTTTATTTAATTCAAATATAAGTAAATTATTATCCACATATAAATGTTATATTTATTTCTTTATCATTTGAAATACTTCATAATCTTCTATAGAAATTTTACCATCAGTCTTTCTTATATTACGTTCATAATAATACTTTTTACAATATATTTTATCATAATCTGTAAAATCACTTGATGAATATATCTGAAGATCATCGCCAAAATATGGTCCATAATTCTTGTGAAAACTTAATGCATGATCCACACCCTCAACTTTACTTAAAATCGCATCTTTAGTAAAGTCATCCTTACTTTTAGAAGAAAATATAAAACTATCTTTAGCTTTACTCCACTCACTCGTAGATTTCCATGAGTTAGGATTATATCCTCCCAGGATTTCTTCTGTTCCTTTAACTTTAATGAATGTGACAGTATTTGGTTTATCATCACATAATGTATGAAACTTTTTAGGAGTAAATCCATGATCACTTCCTCTTAATAATAATTTGAATTTATAAGGTAAATATAATTTTTTAACATGAGTAAATCGATTTTCAAGATCTGCATTATCTACCCATTTGGAAATTAAGGAAACAATCTTTATATCAATGATTTTTGAATCAAAATTCCCGATTCTAGGAAGTGGAATGTCAAAGGCTATGTTGCTATTAGGATCCAGGTGATACTTTAATAAATTTTCATAAAGTTGACTCTTTAACAGCTTCTTATATGGATGAACTTTACGAAAAAATTCTATAGATGACATACTAAAAAATCTGATTAAAGGTAAACAATGCTGTAAAGTATTCTCCGTTATTTTGAAATCATCATCCGTCCACGTTGCAGGATCTGGGGTCATAGTTGGATTCTGTGCAAGACCCCATCTTAATACATGATCCCAAACTTCAGTTTCTCCCATTTGTAAATTATCTCTTTTAATAAGCGATAATAAAGATTTTTCAGGAAGCGAAGTAAAATCAAATGATTTAAATATCTTCTCTGGTGATTTGGCCATTAAATCTGTACAAAATTTTTGAAGTTCTATAAAATTGTTGGATTGAACGCTTGTTTGATGAATAAGTTTAAAATGTTGTTCCATCCAATCAGTTTTATTGTCAATTAAATAATTTTGTAAATAATCAACTAATTCTTGAAGAAGAAGTATATCGGCAGCTACCAAGATCTTAAGGATGTCTGAAACATCTTGCACATTTAATGAAAGGGTACCACCATAAATATACCTAAATCACAAAAAAATAAAAATTCAAAATTTAAATATTTTAAAAGATATTATTATATTTTATTCTTAATTATAAGTTTTTTTAACTTACTTCAAAATAATTTGAAAATTATCCGGTGAAATATTTGGTAACTTCAAGTGAGTCAGAACATTATCATAATTCTTTTGATTTGAAGATAAATCCCTTCGTAAATATGGAGAACGGTAGCATAAAATATTCTTGTGTGCACGAAATATTTTTACATGAGGATCTTTGCCAACTTCAATTGTAATATCGTAATATTCATCATCTTCCAATAACTCAATATAGTCTTTATTTAATTTTGTGAAAAATTCTTTCGACATTCTTTATGATTGAAATTTGTTCATTTGTTCAAAAAAAAAAATTATCAAAAAAAAAAATTTAATAAAAGTATGGAATTGTTTTTGTTTGCCATACTTGGTGGATCTCAAAAATATCCAATCATGCATGCATGATTTTTTAATAATATGCGATTGGCGATGTTTTGAAAATCTTGTAATTTTATATAGAAAATAGAAACTACAGTTATAGTGTATAATACCACCATCAAACCATAAAAGCCGACTCACCTGATACTTGCGCAAACGATCTGATCATAAAAAGAAATAAAAATTTCGTTCCAGGCAGGCGGATCTATTAGAATTTTTTGAAAACAAAATTTTTTTTAGCATATAAATAAACATTTAACAAATGAACTAACTAAAAATTAATTGAATTTTTTTTTTTTGGTTCATGCTAATATTAATAATTGAAAAAAAAACCATATACATTACTAGTGTTGATTTTTTAAAAATGAACTCATGATGGATTCATTAAAACTTGACAAATAATCTTTAATATTCAAAAATTTTTTGGTAGGACAGAGATGTCTTTTCGAACGTAAAGGTGGATGTTACAGTTTATTTATTATAGATATGAAGGAGGAGTTTGCCTTATCTTGGAGCTTCCATTGTCATTATGTTAGTGGCTTTACAAAGGAAAGGAGTCCTGTGGTTATTACATAACATATACTCGCTTAGTATAAAGGAAGGTTGTAAGTATAATGGCCGTACCTTATACATTATATTGTAGTATATATGACAATATAAATCTCTGAGATTTCCTTTTTTTTTTTTTTTTTTTTTAGATATTTATAAAGTCATAAACGTGTCCTGCATGTTCTATATAAATTGTAAAGGTAATTAATTATTTAAGTTTCATAATTTTTATTAAATATCTAAACATCATGTTTAAAAAATTTTATTAAATATTTAGATATCCATAGGCGACCACGTTTATACTAGGATGGCGAGATTTAAGAAATTTATAAATTTAATATTGATCCAAGAAAATTTTAATGATTCATAAATTTTAAAAATAAATATAATTTTTTTTTTAATAAAATAATGTATTCAAATTAAATATAAAAATTTATTCGTTTTTTATTATCGAATTTATCTAAGCTTGCGCAAAATAAAAAAATAAAGTTTATTTAAAAATCATCTACGTAGTAAAAATGTCGGTATCATCTTTTATCACTCAGCATTTCATAAAATGGGTCTAATTCTCAAATTCCTTCATCATCGCGAATGAATATATTTTTTAGTAGGATTACTTCAATACTTTCATTCTTTTGTGATATACCAGCTTCGCGTGTTTTGATGTTTTTGTTAAATAAATTATTTTTTTTTTTTTGAAAATTTAAACTTACATATATTATTCCATTTTTATTTATTTTCTATGAACAAACCTTGTTAATAATAAAAAATGCTGTAGTAGTATGTCTATACTCAACAATATAAATGTAACACTTAAAAATCTTTTTCCTCTTTAAAAAAATAAAATTTAAACTGCTAACTTTATTCTTTGATATTAAATTAACGGTCAGTTTTTCAAAATAAGTTCTATATAAAGTTATAGGCATTAAAAATTGGATAATTATATTATTGATTGAAATTTATAATAATTCGAGCCGGCATTATGGTAATTAATCATAATGTCAGCCTGAATTATTATAATTTTAAATAATACACAAAATAAAATGATTACTAATCACATGATATAAATCCACAAAAAATTTCGAAACATTGATAAGACTTCCAGCACTATAGCACAAACTCAATATTAAACTTCAATGTTTTAATGAACTAGTTCTTTTAGATAACAATACAACAATCATTGTAATAAAATTGTTCTATAAAAAATAAATAATCTAATTTTAACAAATTCAATTTTCCTATCCCTAGACATTTTTGAAAAATATTTTTTCAAATTCTAGTAAAGAATATGTCAAAGTCAGTAATTTTATACAGTATTTTAGAAATTTTGTAAGTATCTCTATTTTATTGCTTTTGTAATTATTAACATCTCAATTTTATATATAAATCCTTTTCTAAATATTTAATATATCAGAGTTAATGCAAAATTCTGATACAATTTTCTTTGATGAATTTTTATGTTTGACTCATACTCTAATAGATGATTTAGTATAATTTTCATTTTATTAATATAGATAGTCTTCAAGCATATGAATAGGTTTAAAATGGCAAATCTAGACATAGAATAAATTATATTAGAAAATAAAATTGTACTTTTAAAAACAATTCAGATCTCAAAATTGAATTGATTAAAGAGAATTACTAAAGAAAATACTGAAAGTATAAATAAATATTAAGTTTCTTTTATTTTTAATAATTCTAAGGAGTTTTTATTATAGGTTTTTATTTATTATTTTAAGTTTGGAAATCTATTGTAAGTTATTATATAAGAAGATTTACTTTATTAATGAGTGAGGCTAACTCATAATATATTTCTTTAAGTGAGCATTTTATTAGTAAAGATCAAATATTTGCCAAATAGGAATCAACTAGTAATAAAGAATAGGTTTGTTTATTGGATATGAGAGAATTTACAAAAATAAATTATATATTATTTGTTCAAAAAAAATGATTTTTCATCAAATCAGGAATGATATTTTCTAATGAAGTTTATTGTCAAATATTAATATATTCTCTAACTACGAAAATTAAAATTCAAAACTTTAAGCATTTATATATAATGCAATTCTTGGATGTTGAAAGGTAAAAAAATAATTATTACTAATATATATAATTTATAATATTTAGATAATATGACTAAATTTCTGAAAATATAAATATATTTAAATATTTTTTTTTTTGTTTTAAAATCTAAGAATATGAAATAATAATATAAAAAAATTACAAACATCTGGCTTAAAGAATATAATATAAATTCTAATCAGAAATTTAATGCTTTATTATTTAATTTCTATAGTATTATACTATACCTGATTTTATAAAAAAAATGGATCTTATAATATACCAGAAGGTATTTCTATATTAATTTATATTATTTTCTTATTGAATTATTTATGCAATAATAAATAAAATAAAATATTTCTTTTTTTTATTTAGAAATATTTAGTCTTGATTTACATAAATATTTCATGTATGCTTAAAACTATCAACATTTATCTACTAATCTAATTATTTGTAAAATAACTCAAATTATTAAAATGAAATTTTTCAGATCAGTATCTATCTTATAAGGTGATGAGTTATAACTTTACAGAAATTTTAAAGAGATGTTATTTAGGCTTCTAATTAGAACTTCTAAGATGGTAGAATATGAGTTATTTTAAAATAATATGTAGATATCAAAAAATTCTTGCAATTATTTATTAAAGAAGAAACAGCATCAGTAGAGATATTCTGAAAAAAAATATTTGTAAAGTTATTTTTAATTAGTATCTATCAGTAAAGAGATATTATATATGAGAACTTACAAAATAAGCTATAAGATGAAATTTACAAAATACTTGAGCATGCTGATACAATAGCAATAATTAACAGATGTAATACAACTTAATATATAAGTTACTCTAAAGGAAAGAAGAATTTGTAACATATGTAGTATTCTATAATATTTTATTCCAAAATTATATATTTGATGATATGTATAAATTCAATTGCATATAACTGATTTTTGAATATATGTTCATGTTTAGGTGAAATTTCAGAATTAAGACAATTAGAAATTATGATAATTTGAAAATGCTAGATATAAGTTAGAGCTTTAGAGATGATAAATAGGTATATCTAATTTAATAGTCAAATACATTTAAATTTGATTTTGAAATTCCTTTTAATATAATAAATACAAAAAAAACAAATTTTATTCTTGTTGTATTAGTAGTAACAAGGATTATCATAAAATATATTTCATTTTATTAAGTATTCAGAAACTTGAAATTTTCAATAATGAAAAATCTACTATTCATTAAACATGAGCACTATAATTAATTCTAGATGAGTACTATAATCCTGACCATTTTTAATGAATACACAGGGAAAATCCAGCAATATGAGATTCATCAACTTCATATAAATGAAAGTTACAAATTTTTTTTTGACATATCTTACCTATTCTAAAACCCAAATCTGATTTCAGATTTCTAGAATTGATAAATATAATATAAAGATTTTAATTCTTAAAAATAATTGCTGTTCTTTTTTTATTTATTTTTTTATAAATAATAAGTTTTAACTTTAAACAATTTTCTAAAAAAAAATATTCAATTTGAAATGTCAAAATGTTTTAAAAAGTTCAATTCAATAAATTAATAAATAGGAGCTTTTATTATATTATACTTATTAATTACTTTTTGATCACTTAACATTATTTGATGAATCTATATATATTTATATCTTTATTAAGACCTATTATTATATTATGCATAATATCTAACTTTTAATTAAATCAGCTTGTTGGCCTTTAATAGGTCATTAAGTAAATAATTAGAGAAAGAAATGATAGATAAACTAAATAAGATAATTTGGACTTACTGTATATAATTAGCATTACATAAAGTTTTAATAATTAGAAAATGATTATTATTGATTCTTAAGGTGTAATATGTCTTTTGAAAAATTTACAAAGTTTTTTTAAAAAATTAAATTTATTATTTTTTAAATTTTTCTAACTTAATAAATCTTAGATTACAAAGTTGTTTATGAAAATATTTGAAAGATAATATCTTAATAAATTTAAAGTAATAAATCATCATCTTTTAGTTTATTTCTTAGTTTTACTTCAACATGATTATTTATATAGTTATATCAACTATCTAGGTTATATAATTAACTTTAATTAATGCTATAAATTTACTATCTATTAAAATAATTAAAATTTTATAGTATAAATAAAGTTTATATTATTATACGAATAATTTTATAAATTTGTTAATATGATATATAATTTTCTCTTTTTTCAATCTAACTATCATTCCTCTTACATTAGATAACCTTAGACTTATATTACAAATTTTATTATTATTAAGTCAGCTATCTTTTTAAATATTCTTTGAATATAATCATATTTCCCTTTTGTTACTTCTTGATTATTTTTAAGCCATATAATCGATTATTAAATTGTATCTTCAAGTTTCATCTTGCTTTTAGATCAAAATTACCAGCACTTGTTTGCTCTATTAATCATAAATAATTTTAATTCAGAATATTAATGTATAATAAATATTAAAAAAATGCTTACATGAAGTATGTTACGTAAGTTATTTACATAACTTTACAAATGATTTCTTATCTGTATATTTTGTGTAATATTTTTAATATCTTTACAATTTTTCTCAGCATCGGTAACTATTATTTTATAATTTTATTAGTAAATACCTTTACATAAAAATTTCATCACAAAATTGAAAACTATAATTATATGCTTATATGTTTAATTTCTTTCTTTGACAATTGATCTTTGTTATTTATAATGATCATATTATTCGATATTCTAGTTATATTATCAGTAGTAGATATTTACAATTAATTCAAATTAAAGACTATTTTGAAAATAGTAATAATAATGATAATAAAAATTAAATATCTAATACATGTGTTTAAAATACTATTTGTATTAATATCAAAGGTAACTTCAATTTGTGAAATACCTTTGGTATTGGATAAATTTCAGACAATTTGAAAATTAAACTATATTTTTACATAATAATTATATTATTTATTAACATTAATATTTTATATATTCCTATTAATTTTATGATTTTAAAAACTATTTTAGTAAAATTTTTATTTTAGTTTTGCAGTTTTATTTTTTAGTGATTATTTAAAAATAATTATATATTTGGTAAAGTTTAAAGAAATTAATTAGTGAAGTAAAGATTAACTTAATAATTATTAAACTATTACTTTTTGCTTAATTTGTAATATAATTTGCAAGTTTTAATATTTCTATATATTGATTGATTTTAAAGATATAATAAAATCTCAAATTTGAATTTTACATAATTATTAGTTACAATTTGCATTAGTATTTATATATATAATATTTAATAGCAATAATGAATAAATTCTATATTTTTTTTTTTTTTAGAAAAGACTTATAATTATAATATATAATTATTTTTTATTATTTCAGTATAATTATAAGCATAAATTTTAAAGAAATTGAGTATATAGATAAAAAAGTTATAAAATATAAATAAAATATTGTATATAAAAATTTATAAATTGAAAATTAATGCATAATAAATTGTTAAACTAACAAAGTTATTTACTATTATACCTTCATATTATTTAAAAAAATATTTAAAATTAAAATATACTTTATACAAATTTTAACTTTTGAATTTAAGTTAATACTAAAATTATTAATTAATTTAAAAAAATTTTTTTTACTTAAAAAATTTTATTTTAAAAATATATTTTTAATAAATAATTAAATTTCATTTATAAGGAAAACTCTTAAAGGAAATAATCATTTTTTAGCATTACATTTTTTTTTGTTTTGGTAGTAAATTAATATTTTAATTCTAAAATTTATATTAAGCTTGATAGCGATTTATTTATTTAGGTAAATTGCTTTTAGACTTTATATATTATTAAAAGCATTTTTGTTATATTAATGCTAGTAGTTATACTAGAAAGATGTATCATCCACTTTAAATTTAATATAATTTCTAAAAATTCATATCAAAAATTTCAAAAAAAAAAAATTTTATAAATTTTATTAAAAAATTAAGGTAATATTCTAAATGATTAAGCTATTATAACAAGAAATATTGGCTTTAGTAAAAAAGTTATATATTAATGAAAATCAAATTTTCTACATAGACTCTTAAGGAATTATCAGCACATTAGTTTGAATTTTTTGCAAAATGAGTAATTTAAATTTCAGAGAAGAGAATAAAGGAGAGTAAAAATAGTTGAATATGTTTTTTACGATATTATATAGTTTCTTTCCCAAGGTGTATAAATCCTTCTGGACCTTAATTAATAAAACTCTATAATTAAATTAAAAAAGCCTTTACCTGCTACATTTGAAACTTTAACTGCTTAGCTTACATTAAATGATATGACAAATAGTATTATATTTCTATCTTCACTCTGAGTTAGCAACTACAACTATATGTAAAGGATTGTAAGTCAAACCAATAAAGTTCTGTTTCTTCAACCCTCTACAGTGAAAAAAAAGGAAATATACAGTATAAAGGAAAATACTTAAATAATAAATATATATTTAGCGTATTTTTTCTCACATTATTAAAATACATATAGCAAAAAATTTCGTTTATAAAAAAAAAATTAAAAAATATCACGAGCAAAAATAAAAAAAATAATGAGTATCTATTATCATATATTTTAGATTTAACAATAAAAAAAAGACCATAAAAACAAAATCTTCTACTATTTGTTAGTTAAAATTAATTCAAGTTTGTCTTGTCAATTTAATTACTCAGAAATAATTATGTGAAAATGTGAGAAAAAAGTTTTTTCTCTTGACAAGTTCAACTATCTAACTGATTGATATATATATCATTACTCAGTAAGTAAAGTCTAAATTTAGTAATTATAGTTGCATAAGATTTGCTAATTTTCTCTTATTTTTCTGATTAGTTACCATTATTTTTCGTTTTTGATTAGCTGATTTTCTTGATCATATTACGTGATTGATTTTTTACCAAATTATGTCTTATGAAATTATCTCATTGATTGACTGATTAATTAAAAATTATACTTTTTATTAATTACTTTAATTCGTGATCTGCCTGTGAAACATAAAAATTTGAATAAATTTACTAATAATCGATGGTGATAATTGCAATATAAAAAATAACTTCGCGTCAGAATCTCTCGTTACTTGGGATTATTATTCTTTAAAAACGTTTAAAATAATAAGTAAATATAAACAATATAATGTTTCATTAGTGACTGTAAGGAAATTGGACGAAGAATTACATTATGAGGCATTAGGACGTTTTTGGTGGCAGTCACGTTACGACAATATGTTATATCCTATACGTTTAGGGATAAAAACTCTAGTTACACTTAAGAAAACTGACTTTATAATTACTGTAGTCAAAGGAAATTCAGTTTCTGACTTTCAGCCTGGCTATATATGTGAAGCAAAAGGTATTGTTAGTTCTGTTGATAATACTCCTTCTGGGGCAATTAACTTTTTGTACCAGAGATTATTCAGTTCAAAAACAAGATTTTTTAGTCTGCTAATATGTAGTTATAATAATAAGGAAATTAATAAACAAATTTTAGAAAATATTCCTTTTCAACCATTTATATTAACGGTTGAAAAATTACAAATATTTGTTGGAATGATAAGAATTTCTGATCATAAAGATTTGGAATATGCAGGTCCAGGATACATGTCATCTTTTATTTATGCAATTGGTGAACAAAAATACAAATATTATTTGTACAAAAAATTCACAAACGACATTGTTCAGTAGCCTTATATTAAAATGAGCAAAATCAGTCTATATATATCAGTAGTAATCCCAATGATGTCTAGAGAAAAGTCAAAATATTACAAGATTTAGACGGAAAAACTCTTTTTGGAATAAATCATAAGAAAACCCAAAATTTAATAAACAGTTTTCGAGCACCTGCCTGCACAATTAATGAATGAAATAATAAATTTATGATAACACAATTATATAGACATCATTTATACAAATTTACGTCTGTGAATATTGCTTGGTATGAGTTTCTACTTAATTGGAAAGAATAACGATGTAATATAATAGAACTATATAGTACCCTTACACATATATATCCAGAAGGGTATCAGTTTAAAGAAAGAGAATTTCATACTTGGAAAGCATTATTACGTAGCATCGGATGTACTAATATTATGCCATTTGACAAAAATGAATCAGAGGTAAAAAAAAGTAATAATATTTCAAATATATTATTTATTTATTTTAATAACAAATATTATTTCTTTTTTTAGCAAGAATTTTGGACTAAAGCTGAAAATCCAATTGACGATAAAAGCACCTTTCTTTATTTATATAAAAATAATTTTCTTAATATATCTTCTTCAAATTTAGATAAATATTCTAATCCAAATGAAAACAAATTTTGGTCTTGTTTTAATGAATCTCTAAAAATAAATCAAAAAGGATCTGATAGAAAGAGAAGAATTTTATCAATAATTGTGGATAATTTTTCCTATAAAGAAATTAGAACAAATTTATTGGTTAGTTATTTCAACTTACTTATTGTATTTTATGAAAACTATTTTTTCTCATTGAAATTTCCAACGTAGGTTGCTTCAACTACAATTCTTGATGCTCATAAATATGCTAGATTAAATGGTCCTAGTGCGAAGCAAATAGAAAGGCTTGTAAAAACGGCAACCAGATTATCACAAGAAAAATTAGAACAATTTAGCAATTTTTTTGAAGATAAAGCCAATGTTATTATATCTTCTTACAAAACAGATGCTAAACTCAATTACCTGTTTTGTATTTAAAAAATACAAAGAAAGCACTTTGGGAAAAATTTCAAGAAACATATCCTAATGGTTTGAAAAGAATAACTTTTTATCATCAATTGGAAGGGAATCGTTATCAATATCGGGAAGATATGGGAGGCCTTTATGCTATTTGCAATACCTATGAATATGAAGTATTTGGATGTTTAAAAAATCTAATTCAAAAAGAAATCAATTCAATAGAACTTCAGGTAAAATTAGACAAAAAATTGATATATAAATGTAAATAAAATACTTACTTGAAATTCTATTTTAGAATCAATTTATCTAACGTGTTGAAAATTTACAACGTTACCTAAAAAATCATATAAGCAAGAATTCAAAGTATTAGAGAATGATATAACTGAATATAATTCTTGCATTAATCATTGCTTATTGCATGCTTTTAGAACCTGTGAAAAATTACATACTCAAATATGCAATGAATGTCAAGAGTTATTCACTTTTTTTATTAACCTCAAAGAAATTATCAATTCAACCGCTCATAATGATTTGAAAATATATGAAGAAAAGCTAATCTACTACCTTTCTCATCAAACAAGAAAAGTATATTTGAATTTTCAATTTAACGCGACAATAATGGAGTTAGATGGAAAAGGTGCAGTTTTATTAGTAAATTACAAAATGAAGATCTTACCGCAGACTGCAAGAGAAACCAAATAGGATTTTTACAGTAAGAAAGAATAGACATTACATTCTGTTTTAGTTTATACAAAATCTGATGAGAACATTCAAATTCATATCGAAGCTTTTGATCATTGGTTATATGATGCTAAACAAGATGCGTGGTTTACTGCATCATCTTTACATGGTGTAATTGAAGCACTTGATAAGAAGCCTGAATGGATAAGTATTATTTCAGATAATGATCCACATTATCATAATTCTGAATTGATGATAATATTGAGCTATTGGAAAGAATGGTATAATGTAAAAATAAATAAATGGATATTTTTAGAAGCAGAGGAAGCAAAAACTTTTATTGACTCCCATCACGCACAGGTATATATAAAATTTTACTAAAATAGTTTCTTACATGAATCATCCAAATTAACCATTAAATTTTTAGATTTTCCATTCAATTAAAAGGCGAATAAAATTAGGATTTGAAATAAAAGATGGTGAGAATATCCAAGAAACTATCAAAGGCATTGCTGAAACTCGTGTGGCACATTTAGAACCTGATAGAGATAATGGTAAATTTGTTTATTAAAAATAAATTATTTGATACGTAAAATTATACTAATATAATATTATGTAATAAATGAAAAGATAAAAAGGATAAAATAAAAACAATTCCTGGAATTTCAAATTATTCTGAATAGAGATGGCCAGAAGAAGAAGGACTAGATGGATATATATAAGCAAGAGCTTTACCTCATATTGGTGAATGAAAAATCTTTACACTAAATCAAATATCTAATTGGGCAAAAAATGGAATACACATGCCACAGCCACAAATTTCATCACACACTATGCCAACGTCATCTTGAGAAATTCTGATACCACATAGTTCAAGTGGGTATATTTGATTTTCTGTTATTCTTACACAAATAATCCAAAATGAATTGGATAAGCTGCTTGTTTCCAGATATTAGTGTAAGGTGACTAAAGGGAAAACAATTGCAAGAAGAATTAGAAAATTGTGGAATAATAGTAGATGAAAAAGAAAATCGTGATAAAATGATAAGAACTTTAGAATATGAAATAGTAAAAGAAACACAATCAAAAAAAATTGGTAGGTTTAAAAAGGTGATTTGGTATAAAAAAGACATCAAATAATGAATTTTTATTATAGGCGGTATATCAGAAAAAACTCTCAGTGATATTACAAATACATCACAAAATAGGTAAGATATAAATTATATAAAAATTCAAAGCTATTTAGAAAAAAGTCTAACGCTTGTCTTAACTGATAGTAATTCTATAGATATAAGAGTGTTTCCTTTGTTATATGGCTGGGCTTTGAAACATAGTCAAAAATATGGTAAAAAGGGTTCAGGAAAAAGAATTGCTTCACAGGTTGTAGCTCTATTAGAACATTTCTTTTTGGATGGAAATATTCATAAAAATAAAAGAATGAATGGATATACTATGCGAGAAAATCTAGTTGAGAAACATGAAAGTGGTGAATTAGCACAAAATGTTGAAATTCCCGAAGTACCTTCTATTAATAATTGGATAACAAGATTCACTGCAAAGTCTAAAAAAAACTTATTTGAGTAAGCTATAGCTAGTTTTTCAATGATTTAAAGCAAAAATTGTTGTTTCCTGTCATTTTGAATTACCAGTAAAATAGCGAGAATCTCACATTCTAGGTGATTAAAGTCAAAAGTTTTTGCTTAAATGTTTTCGATAAATTTATAAAATAAAAAATTTAAGTTTGGCCACGTTGTAATACAAAGTTTTTTTTGATGTTACGCATATAAGTTGATTTATTACATTATGAACTATCACAATTATAGCCACGTTATTAGATGATTGATATAAATTTCACTAAATTCAACTAATAATTTTTTATGGTTCACTGGTAGATCACGAATTAATCTTATTACATGAATTAATTAAATATCTATTTTATTTTCATTTTTTTCATTAAATAAAACAAAATCTATTATTTCAATAAATTAATTTCTTTTTATTGTTAATATCACATGAAAAAATAAATTTTTTTTGCTATTTCTATATTTTATGTTTATACTTTTTTTTAATTTATTTACAATAATTTTATATTATTATTACAAATATAACAAGCATTATCCTGATCATTTATCAGACTTATATAAATTACTAATTTTTGAAAATATTCAACATTTTATTTAACAATATTTACTTAAAAACTTTGATTATTTTAATATATAGAAACTCTTATATTTTAGAACAATTAAGCTTTAGGACTAAATGCTAAAAGAATATAATAATTCTAATGTAAATTCACATAATATTTAAATGCTAAAAGATACTTTAATTACAAAAAATGATATTTATAAAATTTTACATAAAATGATAAATCACTCATTTATATTAATAATATATTAATATAATTAGCAAAATAATAGGAAAAGCTAATTATTATAGGTGAAAATTGTTTATTTAAATGTTATAATGGTTCAAATAAAATAAGTTTTCTATTTACTTTTAAATAAAAAAATAGAAAAACTAGCAAATATTATATTTGAATAGAATATATAATTTAATAAATACAGATATCAATTTTTTAACTTATAATGCAAGATCTAGTAACAGATTATAGATATTCAGTTACTTTTTTGATAAAATAATTTAAATAAATAGTAATATTAAAAGAATGACTTAATTTTTAAAATATGAATATAATGAATAATGCTGAATATTTTTATGATTAATAACGTAAAGAGGAAATAAAAACAATTAAAAAATATTTTTCAGAAAATTTAGTCTTATATTTTATATATTCAATACAAAAAATCAGGATATAAATATGATACAAATATTAATTCATACAAAAAATTGTTTGGAATAATCTCTAACAATTATTGAAATAGAAGGATGATCAGATACTAAAATTCAAAAGTAATAGTTAATATAATAAATAAATAATATAAAATGAACATTAAATCATAAAAAATTTGCTGATTACTTTAAGTAATAGTAAAGTTACAATATAAAATATGAATGATATGTATTAAAAGTATAGTTAAAAATAAGATAGATATAAATAATTTAATTAAAGCTTTTATTATAAATTAAAATATATATATGAAAGAACATTTAGATTATCAGCTTAATAAAAAGTTATCTTTTTGTAGAAATTGTATATGAAATATGAACTTTTTAAATTTTTGAGTAAATTAAAATTAGTTAAATAAATCTAAATAATACTAATAATGTATTTAAAAAATTATAGAGATTAAATTTATAAATAAAAAGAATATGTATAAATTGTAGCAAAATATATAGATTAAAGGTTTGAATTAGTCAAAATTTTTGTATTTGATTAACTAATCATATAAAATTTATAATCAATTATTATTCAAAATAATCTTTGATTAATAATTATTATTCTAATTATTCAGTCATTTGAATAACTAATTAGTTAAAAGAACTAAATTGTTAATATAAATTATTTTATTAATTAAAACAAAAAATATATATTTTGAACTTAAATTTTTTATTAGCAATATAATAAATTATATTATACTAATTATTCTAATTACAGAGGACCACCAAAAGTCTCTGAACGCTTTTTGGCTTAATAAATCATTTAAAATTTTAAAATTTAATTAAATAATTTATTAAATATTTATTAA